CATAAGGGGGCACCGACCTATTTGTGACTGGCGCGTGCAGCCTGCCTTGAACTTGGAACTCGCAAAGTCTCGAAGGGTTGCCTTGCCGCATCTAACCATAGGGAAGTCGCTTGCTAACTCATGCTTAATTCATTATCATTCTCTACAGTTTACAACCACAACACATATCGCGCTACGAGGGACGCAGGATAAAAGAAAGAAGAACTGCCATAACAAATGTCGCGATGACACACCGTTTACGCCATAGCTGACACAGCTGTTCGAACACCTGCTAGGTGAGATGGGCATAACTCCAAGAACAACGACACAGGAATAGCGCCGTAATCGAAAACGTAGCTGCAAAGGCAACGGTAGTGTCACGAAAAGAAGGAAAAAATAGTCAACAACACCACGAGAAAAAACCAAATCATACGCATATGGCGCTCGTATGTTCAATTCACACTAATAGATCAACAATGTCGGCTTGCGTCACGTCAAATCGCTACAAGTGAGTTTCGCCGTCCGCTACAGCGATCACTCTGACGCGGCAACTCTCGCATTGACTCTGTCATCGCCAGCAGCCAAATGCATTTAAGTTTTAAGCAGTTAGATCCTTAAAGCGGTATTTAAAACCACGGGAACAATTACTAGCGAGCTTCGTATATCATGTATGAAGGTTGCCTCAATATCTCCAAGTGTGGGAAGTTCCTTGAAACTGCTAATTGAGACCGGATCTCCTGATGAAATGAAGCAGCTCATCGTGATGCATGTCGTTAGCAAGCATCGCAAGCGGAAGACTCACCAGGATTTTCATGGCTGAACTCGCTGGAGTCTGTGCTAATCGTGGACCGTTGCCGACGAGCTTTATACCAGCTGGGGGCCGCTCTAACTGGGAGCCACACCCGTGACCGGAGGTAACACTCGCATGTTGCGGGGATCACGGACCGCTTTACACCATGTATTGCACAGCTATTCGGGCAATTGCTAATGAGTCAGACAAAAGGCAGAAATAACCTAGGAATGGCGCCGTAATCGAAAACGCAACTGCAAAAACAAAAATACTCTCACGAAAAAATGCAACAAAACCACGAGAGACAGCCAAATCACACACACTTAACGCACGTGGGTTCAATGGACACTCATGGATGAACACTGCCACTGTGCAGTTAATAAAAGCACTACAAGTGAGTCTTGCCGTGCGCTATAGCGGCAACTCTGACGTGGCAACACTCGCTGTGAATCTGACGTCATAAAAACTTTCCATGACACAATAAAGCGATGGTGTGATCAAAGTCATCATATAGGAAAATTGCTGTATTCAGCAAGCATTTGCATTTAAAAGCATGCAAAATCGGAACACCGATAAAATTTTTACTTAGTCATGTACGACACCATTGAAAGGTTACGTCAAAACTTCACCACATTGCCTGTGTTGTCCTATGTTGAAGATATGGTCATTGAACCATCCGTGTTTGGTGGAACCATCCGTGGAGGACTCACCAGGATTCTCATGGCTGAACTCGCTGGAGTCTGTGATGCTTGTGGACCGGTGCTGGCCAGCTTTATACTGGCTGAGGGCCGCTCTAACTGGGAGCCACTCCCGTTGCCAGCGGTAACACTCACATGTTGCGGGGAGGTTTAGTCGGCTGCTTCACGGCGGTCGGTGATTGCCCCCGTTTCCCCGTCCCCCAAGGTCGGAGAAGGGCCACCATCCCTTCATGCAATTTGCTGAGTGATGAGACTGTTACTAGGAAGCTCTGCTGGTGGTGCTACAATGTTGTGATGTTTTTAAGACTGTAGAATGTTATCGTCGATTTGGTACGAGCCGCCTCAAATGCAAATACGAGACGCTGTCTCAGATATTCGCACCTGGAGTTCTCCTTGCCGTGTGTGGACATAGGGAAGTCATTTGCTTCGGAATACTGGTAATATGACGTCAGTGGTCGCTGGACCCTTCCCTCGTCCGTCCCGTGTGTTATATGAGATTTATGGGGTACCCGGCTGGGTGAATTTGGGTGGAATAGTTCAAGTTAGTTTTAGTAATAATACAAATTCCTGTAATACAACAGCAGCCTACCAGCTGCTGGTAGATTGAATCCTGCTCGCGGTAAGATTAATTTTACACAAACGAGACACATATAAAATAACAAAACAGAACGCTGGCCTTATCCGCCGCGTAAGTCGCTAGGGTTGGGTCATATGTGGTGTAGGTATGTTGTCTCGTGGGTTCAATTGTGAAATGTTTAAATCATTGCAGGACAGGCATACAAATGTTTACAATTTAACAGAAGCTTATCAACATCACCGTTGGCTTTGTTTGACACCAAGGAGATGCTCACGAAAAACAGGCTGCCGTGGCTATCCCCATCCTTTTTCGATCCATTTGCTCCTACTGATATAGATGTTGTCTTTTTAGCATTATAGGCCGGCTTTGCACAGCTCTATCTGTCTGCCTATGTGTGCAAGTCAACGTGACAGACCAGATTAAAGGTGGTGAATTCGAATCTTGGCGAAAAGGGGGAGGCGCGCGTCTCTCATCTCACTCTGCCAACGTCAAGCTGTTTAAAAATTTGGGCTCCTGGAGGAATTGTGTCCTTTAGCAAGACAAGCCTTTATGTAGAAATCGTCCACAACCGCCTAGCCATGCAGTCAGTATCTGACCTTTCAAACACTGGCAGCACTCATGCGTTGCATTGATTCAGCAGCGTCTCGCATTATGCCCGCAACAAGAGTCCCACTCACCCAAATGACCATTAACCCCGACTGCGATAAGATGAGCCATGCTCTGATATTTGCACCGTGCTATTGACAGCGGCTGCCGCAGTCTCCCTTGCCATAAAAGAATTTCGTGGGCAAATGGTAACTCCATACTAGGTAAAAGTTGAGGCATCTTGGAGGTCACCGAATATGAGTAGGCTTACGTACATCGGTTTAGGAATAGGGGTGAGCAGGGCCCCCACTTTTCAAGGCAAAAGCGGGGTTCAGCAGTCCTAAACATACCCCCCATCTTCCGATGTAAGTTGCATTCAACCTACTTTTGCACTACCTTAAAATGCATGCGGATTTATCCAGTTCACCAGCAACCCTCCTCAAACCGCACTGAATGCAACTGTGTCATGTCATAAATGGCAGCATGTTATTCTATCATAAACAGCGAACAGACCTGAAGAAACGGAAGCCCCCGTGTCGCCAGAAGGGCACATAAAAAGGAACAATATAACAAAGTTTTAGACCCTGCGCGCTCGCAATCTGAGGAGCAAGAACAGCAATGGCCGCGGATATAAGGGATACTCCCCTCTCCTAATGCAGGACAATAAAACACTGCCGGAATGTATGTATGTCGGCAAACCAAGTACTGACATCAACTGAGTTAGGTACTCTATAACTGCAGATTTCCCAATGCGGTCAGACGCCATGAGCGTGAAAACAGGAACCAGCTGCTTCATGATTCATTGTGGACTTTGCAAAAGTAGTTGTTGCCTATGGATGCACACATTGGTCCCTTGAGATCGTTAGAGGCGCTCAAAGCTATCATTATGTTTCAATGAATTTCATTTCTTCACATCACCCCAAATCATTTGTGATATATTTTTGCGTGGCACACCAAAAAATGTAAAAAAATACACCAGTAGATGCATTTGTATAACAGGGGCCAGACAGGAGTTGAATATCTCTGACAAAATATAAACACGGGAGTGGCAGTACAGCCAGAGGAGCGTCTAAGACCAGCCACGATTGGTGCACTTTTATTTCAGCCCTATAGTGTTGCACAAAAAGAAACGGTCCAAACGGACCCACCTCCCGCCGAATTTCTCGGACGCTTTCAAGAGGATTCATAAAAGGGTGGTATGTTCTTGACGAACTACCTCACTGGGGCTGCCGTTTTTTGAAAAAAAGGCGTAGTTGTTTGTCTTCGTTTGCATTTTCCCATGCCAGTTACCCGTTTTCTATATCAGTATGATATCAGAACAACAGAGAAATTACGGGCGCAAGGCATGATGGATGATTATTCAATTGTTTTGGTGCAGGCTATTAACGAGTTGGAATCATGCTTGAGCCAAAGTTAGCATGACATATCATGATCGCAGACAGTTGTCTTCTTTCTGGTTGTGTGCTTTACAACTATGCTAGGTTAAAAAATGCTGTGGATTTAGCACGAAACTGATGTCTTATCGAGAAATACAAAGAATCCCAACTGTATATCTTCATTCACAATGAGAAAAACATGGTATTTAAAAGCATATGCGGTTGTAATAGTGTCACGATGCGTCACGATGAGCTGTTTCATGTCATCAGGAGATCCAGTCCCAATCAGCAGCTTGAAGGAGCTTTTCCACTCTTGGAGATATTAAGGCAACCTTCATATATGATACACAAAGCTCGCCAGTAATTTTTCGCAAGCTTTTAGATGGAAATGCCTGCCAAATGTAGCAATTTTTCCAGCAATTGTCTCTCTCATCTAGCAATTGTCTGAAAAGCTGTGTTACCTATGGCGTAAAGCGGTCCATAATCTCGGCATTTGCCATTGTATCCCTTCTTCCCTTTATCCTGTACTCGTCGGGATGACGATGAAAGTAGGTTTTCATGTGTGTGACTATGATGTCATACGTATCTGGATGAAATTCCTCTAGGCGTTCTTCTGGGTACTAGACTCTACAAGTTCACGTGCATCAAGCTCAGAAATAAACGGATTTGAACTGTTAAACCAGATAGTGCCATAGTTGTAAACCGCAGAGAATCATCATAAATTAAGGCTGCGGTACCAACTGACTTCCCTATGATAAGAAGCGGCAAGGTGAACCCATGGGACTTTGCAAGTCCCAAGTTCAGGGCAGGGTGCAGGCGCCAGTCATGAATAGGTCGGATGCCCTATAGGTCATCACATATAGGTTGGTGCGGCCCCGTCCGAGCGCCTAGCACCTACCGTGCAGCGATGTCCCTGTACGAGCTAGGCGTCGACGAATGGACCCCCCAGGCGCTCGCAGTCTGGAACCACCGTTATCCATTGTCTTTTGGTCTGCATGCATCACGATAAACACAGTTGGTTAAGTGGCCGGGGCGTTTGCTTCGCTGCCAACGCCCCGGCCGGCTTCCGCTCGCACGACGACGGTCTCAGCACCAAATTCGACGGCAAAATGCCCGTCTTTCCTATTAAGGGCTCGTTTAGTTACGTGGACCTCAATGGTGTGAAACAGACGGTCGACTACGTTGTGGACGAGTCTGGCTACCGCGTGTCTGGCACCAACCTGCCGGCGTCTGCCGTCACCGACGTGAAGGCGCTCGCCAAGACTACTGCTACCAAGAGTGGCTACCGCAAGAAACGCAGCGCTCTGCCGATCAGCGATACCCCTGAGGGAGCCGCCGCCAAGGCTGAGCGCGCTCAACGCAGCCGCTCTCGGTGTCTACCCTCAGACGTACGCTGCCTCCGTCGCTTCCGCCACGTCCCAGGGCACGTACGGCCCGGAGGGCGTTTCTTACCCGTACAGCTCCATTCACCCGAGCCCCATCCCATACTTTCGCCTTTTTTAAAAGGCTAGAAAAGAAAGAAAAACAAGAAAACAAAGAAACAGAAAGTGCTCTGAGCCTGCTCACCTGCGATCAAATGCTGACTTTTCATCTCTGACTGGCTTCCAAACGTTCTGTTTGTGTTGATATGCCGTTACACCGGAAACCTGTCATGTTTGGTGTATTGTCCCAGCATGGTACCAGGGACGTATTTCCAGCTTACCGAGCTTGGTTGGTACAAGGAACATAAACATGTGGATCGTATTGCGCGTAATACAAAACATGCTTGAAGGCGGTGGTATGGCTGTATTCAATGGAAAGGTGGAGAACGCATGCATCCTATTTTTTCACCTTTCCATGCAGTTCACAACCACGCCTTTTTGAACACTTAAAGTCCTCTTGTTTTCAAGCTAGACGTCCGCGAACTTCTGCAGACTATTTAGACAGACTACTTCGAGGTTACTCAGACATCCACAATGCCATGGAAATATCACGCAAATGACACGACCCCCTTGGTCATGCAGTGCTCAAGGTCAATACGAATATGATTATGCAATTGTTCGGGTCTAGCGTATATCAGCACAATTCGTGCATCAACGGGCAGCAGTTGGCGTTTAACCATTGCGATGTGTTGAGTGCAGGCTTCGACCACCAATCACTTTTGAGCTACGTGATACGGGAATTTTCCCAGTGGTGGGAGTTGTCATTGAAAGAAGACTGGGATCGAAGAACGTAGCAGTTGCGCCATAACTGGATATGCAAATGCAAGAAGGCGTTGCAAAATCCAGGACGAATATAAAACGTTACGAGAAAGGGCTGAAACACAAGCACATAACGATAGTCGGGCTCAGACGGTGCACAACAGCAAAAATCCGCGCCTTTTAACGTAATCAAAGGATGCCCTATGAATCAACATATTTGGTTACTGCTTGTTTGTGGAGAGCAGGCTTCTTCACTTAAATCTGAACCATTAACTACAAGTGAGCTGGTTTTATCGTATCTGATGCTCGCCTCAAAATCTTCAACAGTGGAACATTGTATTTAACTGCTCTGTTTGTGTTCAGTTATCGTTGAACCGAAAACCTGCCGTGGTTGGTGCATTCTCTCAGCTTGATGCCACAGTAGGCAATGTCCGTTTCCTGGACATTATTTTGGCTGGCATAAGGGACGAAAGGTGTGGACCATGCTTGACGTAATACAAAATGTGCTTGGCAGCAGTGGTATGTTTGTTAACACCAGAAGGGGCGGGGGGGGGGGGCGGTTGCATTCCAATTTTCTTGTAAGGACGTTGCGCCCCCTCCATTTTTGGTCGTAAGCATGCACATTTCTGTTGTTTTTTTTCACTCAGAAAGCCATCTTCGCGTTAGGCTGTCCGCCAGATTCCAGTTTGACTGCCCAATCTCGTGTGTGGAGAACCGATGCACAATCCAGGGTTGTCTTCATGTCGCGAAGTTTTTCAGCTTTCAGCTCTCCTTCCTAACGAGGAATGCTTGGGATTACCCCCATGGCGTTTTGGGCACAGCACCTGAAACGGTGGGCCCCGCGCTCCGATGACGCCGGTAGCTCCCTCTGCGGTAGCTAGGACCGGTGGCTCCCTCTGTGGAAGTGCCAACATCGCCGTATGCGTTACACAGCTGGCGACCGCTTCATCTGTGCCGGCAACAAAGCCAGCGGTTTTCCCCGCGGCAGAGCTAACGGCTACTTCCGTGGCTATGGGGAAGTTGCCCATGGTAGTTACAGGGGCTTCTTTCGTGGCAGGGAGAGCGAGATCTTCGGTGGCCGCGACAATAGACTCTCCAGCAGCAGCATCAACGGGTTCCTTCACGGTACTTGGGCCGGATTCTCCGTGGCAGCGCCTCCGTGTGTGCCAAATTGGTTTCAAGGCATTTTAATCATAAGCTGGATGTATACAATTGTTATGTTGCTTTATAAAAAAGGGGTTTCTGAAATAGAGTGTATTCACACCAAGCTGCAAGAAATGCTCCTGCTGATGGTTTTGCCAGAAAAGGTTGCCAACTTTGCCTAGCTGAGATAACCTGAACAGCATAAACAGTGTGGTAACATTTGTAGCATATGTATTTAAACTATCAGATGTAGCTGTTTCATAAGAAAATGATATTAAAACAACTAATGATCACACGAACTGCATTGACTACCAGTTTTTGATCATCCATGACAACTTGAGTGATGCGCAGCATCTGTCATTATTACTGCTCAAGTGATGTCTATTTATGATCCTAAACTTACTGATAACGAATGTGTTCAGATTCAGAGTTTGGATGGAGAGCGGCATGAAACAGAACACATTTTAGGTGAGACATTAGTGCTTGTTTTTAACATCGAAGCTGTTTATGAAGTCATGACTCACAATTATTCCAAGCCAAGAATACTGGTTTCTTCAAGTTGAAGCCGGAAAAAACCTTTTAAATTCACATGTGCTTACAAATACCATGTTTTGTCATTGTTAATGAATGTACATAGTTGGCATACTTATGTATTTTTTTCCGAGTGCATTTTAAGATATTATTACATATTTCCGACCGTATTTGTTGCTGAAAAGAGTTGGAATCAAAAACAATTTCAAACAACGTTGCTGCTTCAAATATTTAGCGGACAAAGGCTGTCCTATATTTTCCGAGCCGTTGGTGCCGAGTGGAAAGCTGAGATCGCAATGTCTATAACACATCTGCAGGACAAAAAGGTATTCCAGTTAAGTTTCCACCACTGACGTCATATTGGGAGCATTTCGTAGCAAATCGCTTCCCTATGGCCAGACACGGCAAGGACAGCTCTGGGTGGAAATATCTGAGACAGAGTCCCGTATTTGTATCTGAGGCGGCTCACACCGAATCGACGACAACATTCTGCGGTCTTAAAAGCATCACAACATTGTAGCACTGCCAGCAGAGCTTTCCACTAACAGACTCAACACTCAGCGGTTTGCATAAGGGGATGGTGGCCCTTCTCCGACCTTGGGGGACGGGGAAACGAGGGCAATCACCGACCGCCGTAATGCAGCCGACTAAACCTCCCCGCAACATGCGAGTGTTACCTCCAGCCACGGGTGTGGTTCCCAGTTAGAACGGCGCCCAGCCAGTATAAAGCTGGCCGGTACCGGTCGACAAGCATCACAGCCCCCAGCACGTTCAGCCATGAAAATCCTGGTGAGTCCTCCGCTTGCGTTGCTTGCTACCGATATGCATCACGATAAGCTGTTTCATTTCATCAGGATATCCAGTCCCAATCAACAGCTTAAGGAACTTTTCCACGCTTGGAAATATTGAGGCAACCCTCATGCATGATATACAAAGCACGCTAGTAATTGTTTGCTTGCTTTTGAATACTGCTGAAGGAATCTGACTGCCGAAAACTTAAATTCAACTGACTGCTTACGACGGAGTCAATGCGAGAGTTTCCGCGTCAGAGTGATCGCTGTAGCGGACGGCGAAACTCACTTGTAGTGGTTTGACGTGCCGCAAGGCGACAGTGTTGATCCATTAGTGTGAATTGAACATTCGAGAGTTCTTTGTGTGTGATTTGTTTTCTTTTTCTCGTGGTGTTGTAGACAATTTTTTTCCTTTTTGTGACAGTGTCGTTGCTTTTTCAGTTGCGTTTTCGATTACGTCGCAATTCCCGGATTATTTTCCAGTTCAGTTCCATTAGTTTCAAAGTCCAAGGCAGACTGCACGCGCCAGTCATGAATAAGTCGGATGCCTCCTTATGCGGCGCCCGTCCGAGCGTCTAGCAAATACCGCACAGGGAGGTCCCGGGCTAAGCCTCGGCGGGTAGACTCCCCAGGCGCGTGTAGTTTTGCCCCACCGTTTTCCACTGTCTTTTATTCTGCATGCGTCATCCCGAACACGAGTGGTTAAATGACCATATCTTCAACATAAGACAACACTGCCAATGCGGTGAAGTTTTCACGTGACTTTACATGGCGTACATGTCCAACTAAAATTTGCATCGGTGTTGCGATTTTGCATAATTTTAATGTATGTGTGTCATGGAATTTAATGTATGTGTCATGGAACGTTTTTATGGCGTCAGATTCACTGCGAGTGTTGCCTCGTCAGAGTTGCCGCTGTAGCGGACGGCGAGACTCACTTGTGCTTTGACATATTGCACGGTGGCAGTGTTGATCTATGAATATCAACTGAATCTACGAGCGTTATGTGTGTGTGAATTGGCTGTTTCTCGTGGTTTTGTTGCATTTTTTCGTGATAGTATTTTTGTTGCTGCAGTTGCGTTTTCGCTTACGGCGCCATTCCCGGGTGATTTCTGCCTTTTGCCTGCCACATCAAGCAATTGTCCGAATAGCTGTGTTATCCATGGTGTCAAGCGGTCCGTGATCGCGGCATTTGCCATTTCATCCCTTCTTCCCTTTATCCTGCACTCGTCGGCATGACAATAACAAAACAGGTTTTCACGTGATGTGACTATGATGGCATACGTATCGGGATGAAATCCATGTATTCGTTCTTTTGGGTACTAGGCAGGAAAAGTTTGCGTGCCTCAGCCTCAGAAATAACAGGATTTGAAGTCTTGAAGCAGACAGGGTCATAGTTGTAAAGTGCTGAGAATCATCATGAATTAAGCATTCGGTAGCAAGTGACTTCCCTATGGTTAAATGCAGAAGGCGACCCCGTGGGATTTTACGACCCCATGGGACTTATGCAAGTCCCTAGTCCAGGGCAGGCTAAACGCACCAGCCATGAATAGGCCAAATATCCCGTTATGCGCCCCTGTTCGAGCGCCTAGCACATACCGCGCAGAGCGGTCCCTGCGCGACTTAAGCCTCGGCGAATAGACTCCCATGTTCGTTTAGTGTTGCCCCACCGTTATCCATTGTCCTTCATCCTGCATGCATCAGAATAGACACGAATGATAAAATGGTCATCTGTTCACCATATGTACAGCATAGCCAATGTAACGAGGTTTTCACCTGACCACTTTGATGGCATACGTGCCTGAGTAAAATTCCTATAGGTGTTGCGATATTCACGAGGCTCCACAAGTTCAAGTGCATCGAGCTCACGAAGAAAAGGGTTTAAAGTCTTAAGCCGGACATGGCTGTGCCTGTAAACTTCAGACAATGGTCATGAAGATGGGTATCTCGGTTCAAAACCCCATACAAATGTGATACAGTCCCTTTAACGGAAGGAATTCAGAGTTTCAAAAATGTTTCTCTAAAGTCACTGCTTTGTTGCAACAACGCAACCATGATGTGTTCGCAGGGTTCCATCAGTTCCAAGATGTTAAAAACGGCGTGAACATGAATGAATGCCTTTTTGCCATATAAATGTTTTAAAAATATTGCGATTTCATCTTTCTACTGGGCACCAATGGCTAGGTAAATATATGGCCGGCTTTGTGCACTAATTATTGTTAGCAGCAACGTTCTTTGGAACTGCTTTTCTTCTTCCAGCTCTTTTCAACAATAACTATTGTGTTGACTGTCTTTTTCAGATGGTAGTGTGCGCCGTCCTTGCCGTTGCGGCTGCCCAACACGCCCTGCCCTACAGCGGCCAGGCCTACTCGGTACAACCGGACGCCTCCAGATACTCAACCAACTTGGCCGTCTCCAAATACTCTTCTGCCGCCTATAACGGCTTCGCTGCCAACGCCCCGGCCGGTGTCCACCCCCAGGTCAACGGTGTCAGCAGCCCAATTCTACGGTAAAATCCCCGTCTTTCCTATCGTCGGCTCGTTTAGTTACGCCGACCTCAATGGTGTGAAACAGACAGTGGACTATGTTGTGGACGAGTTTGGGTACCACGTGTCTGGCACCAACCTGCCGGCGGCTGCCGTCACCGACGTGAAGAGGCCCGCGGACGCTGCTGCTACCAACAGTGGCTATCACAAGTAACGCAGCGCTCTGCCAATCGGCGATACCCCTGAGGTGGCTTCCGCCATGGCTGAGCACGCCGCCTGTACAACGCAGCCGCTCTCGGTGCCTACCCTCGGACGTACGCTGCCTCCAGCGCTCCCGTCACGTTCCAGTGCACGTGCGGCCCGGAGGGCGTTTCTTACACGTACAACTCTATTTACTCGAACCCCCTCCCTTACCTTTGGATGTTTTGGTAAATGCGTTGAGCCGCTCACCTGCAATCAAATGCTGATTTTTCATCTCTGACTCGCTCCCAAACGCTCTGTTTTTGTTCATATGCCGTTCCATCGGAAACCTGTCATATTTGGTGTTTGTCTAGGCTTGATGCCAGGATAGGTACTTGCAGGTTAATGAGCTTCGTTGGTACGGGGAACATAAAGAAGTGGATCCGCTTCGACGTAATACAAAAGATGCTTGGAAGCGGTGGTATGGCTGTATTCAGTTAAGGGGTGGCGAACACATGCATCCTAATTTTTTACCATTCCATGCAGTTCATAGCTGCGCCTTTTTGACGACTTAAAGTCGTCTTGTTTTTAAGCTTGACGTCCGTGAACTCCTGAAGACTATGGCATCAACGGACAGCAGTTGGCCTTCAACCATTTTAGTAATAATAATAAATAGTGAGTAAATATCAAATACAATAATAAATAGAGTAATGAAATTTAATAAAAACAAACCTGGGTGTAAGTTTCGAGTACGAATCAATTTTGCGCTACGTGATACGAGGATTCGTGCAGTGGTAAGTGCTATGATTGAGAAAAGACTAGGATCGAAGAACGTGGGAGTAGCGCCATAACCAGATATGTAAATGGAAGCAAATAGTACGAAGTCCTGGACGAATATAAAACACAACGAGAAAGGGCTAAAACGCAAGCGCAGGGACAATCTTTGGGCCCAGCAAGCGCGCTACAGCAAACATCTGCGCCTCTCGACGTACTCAAGCGATGTCGTTTTGATGAGCGTAATTGATAATTACTGATGGTTTGTCGAGAACAGTATTTTCCACTGAAATCTTAACCATTAGTTACAAGTGAGCTGATTTTATAGAGAGCTAGAATCGATTTTAAACTAGGATGGGAGTGAAAATTTCCTTCGCACAAAGAGCGTGCGGCGGTGAAAAAATCAAGTCACAAAAGGTTGAACTTATGATCTTGTGACTGATGGTTTAGCAAACAAATACATGTAAATCAAGTTGGCATGGACGCAATATCATAAACTTAACAAAACTGTTCTTTAACATCGTAGGTTATTGAAGTGGAACAGAATACATTAAAGCATCGTAATTTCATGACAGGGTAATGGGCATAACAAATTATTAACGCCAAAAATTTGATGCTGCACTTCGCAGTTCCCTTCCCCAGCACTTTTAACACAAATCAAAGGAAAGTAATTCGATAACAAAAAAACAATAGAAAATTCAGCAAGCATAAAACACTAAAAAACAACAACCTTGGACGCCTCCACGTCAGCCAATCGCCAAGTCAAACACTATAGACATACGTTTGGCTTCTGTTCAGATGGGGTGAGGGAAAGTAACTATTTTATAACTGTTTCTTACAAAATACCAATACTTCTTCCATGCGTTTGTAATAAAAACATGATAAAGCTAAGTTTTGGCTGGTTTCAACTTGCACTTTTTTGAGTTTATTTGTGTATGCTTCCTGACGTCAGAAAATTTGACAACACAAATCAAAACGGTTAAAATAACTTTGAACAGCTTATTTTGATTGCCATGGTTAACCCATGTAACGGGCAATGAGTATGCTCCACAAAACAATCTCTCTTCTCCAAAAGTAACATAGCTTGCAGATGACGATGCCAGTATCGCTGCTTGCCTTTTCAGCTGCAGCAAAGGCATTTATTTAGGCTTGCTTATTCATAGTTCATGACAAGGTTTGAGATGTTGGCTTCACATTTTAAATGGGATGGTCTGACTATTTGTTACGTACTAATATTAAACTCAATTAAAATTGCTATGCAGATTAGACTATCCGTGTTAAAAATATTGTGCATATATACCGTAGAGTCATTTGCCAGTAAGCAAGCGATAACTATAGACAACATCTGGTTGAAGCAGCCGTGAGGGACCACCTCAAGGAATTTGGGGTAAATAATCAAGGATATAGAACAACATAAGCCCAACGCATGCCTTGTGGCATCATAAGTTGTATGATAAAAAAACTCGATGGATTAAATCAGAAAATGGCTAGCTCTGGTTATCAACCATGTGTTAAAAGCAGATAAGGCCAGCAATTACTTGAACCACTGGTGCCTTACTGGCTTTTTCGTGCTCCCCCAAAACAAAGTCAGTACCTTTTGCATGATCCGCTGGCAGACAGTCATCCCACCCACACCCCAAATACAAATATCAATCATGCCCACCAACCTACGAGATTAAAATGCGAAACAAGTACGAGGTGTGCATGATAAACATCTCCAGAGGGCAGAATTTCGCCATCAAGCACTTCTGCATTAGCTGCGTTAGGTCTGCACCAAGGCTCTATGTGGCAGCATTAGAATAGCTTTGTCAGGTAGCCTGGTGAGTTCGACACTCGAAAGGCCTAGATTTGTCGTTATTGAGCACCACCATGAACCGAGAGAAAGGTTAACCGAGGGTTTAACAGGCCCAAAATGGCGTTAAACTCAAGTTCCGTGCTTCCCACTGTCTCCTTCGTTGTCTCGTTATGCTGTTGTACAGCACAAACAGTGTGGTAGCAATATTTGTAACATATTCATTCAAACTAACAGAGGTTACACTTTGATAAGAAAATGGTTTTCAAGCAATTACTGATTATACCATGAGCACTAATTAGCAGATACTTTTACCAGCCATGAGAAATTAAGAAATATCCTGCATCTGCCGCTATTCCGACTAAAATTATATCTATCACCCAAAACACGATAATGCCGACGGTGTTCAACTGCAGGGATTTGGATGGAGAGCGGCACGAAAAGGTAAGCGTTTTATATAACTTATCATCGTTTGTTTTAACAAGCAAACTTATTTATGGAGTCATGAGTCATAATTACTCTATGCTACAAATATTGATGCCATCGAGCTGCAGCGTGAAAATGCTGGTGGAAACCAAATGTGCTAAAAAGTAATATATTTCCCCATTTTCAATGAAGAGAGTATATGTATATATATATATATATATATATATATATATATATATATATATATATATATATATATATATATATATATCTATCTATCTATCTATCTATCTATCTATCTATCTATATATATATCTAGATATAGATATAGATATATATATATATATATATATATATATATATATATATATATATATATATATATATATATATAGATAGATAGATAGATAGATAGATAGATAGGGAGAGAGAAGAGAGAAGAGAGAGAGAGAGAGAGAGAGAGAGAGAGAGAGAGAGAGAGAGAGAGAGAGAGAGAGAGAGAGAGAGAGAGAGAGAGAGAGAGAGAGAGAGAGAGAGAGAGAGAGAGAAGAGAGAGAGAGAGAGAGAGAGAGAGAGAGAGAGAGAGAGAGAGAGAGAGAGAGAGATGAGAGAGAGAGAAGAGAGAGAGAGAGAGAGAGAGAGAGAGAGGGAGAGAGAGAGAGAGAGAGAGAGAGAGAGAGAGAGAGAGAGAGAGAGGAGAGAGGGAGAGAGAGAGAGAGAGAGAGAGAGATATATATATATATATATATATATATATATATATATATATATATATATATATATATAGATATATATATATATATGCAATTGGGATATCTTGTTTTCGAGGTAATATATCAATTTCCTGTCTAAACTAACCACCTTTTTGTAAGAGAATAACTGTAAAGCGCACAATCTCAAAGAAGTCACAACTGTTTGCAATTGTGCAATGTTATGCCAAGTTCACATCAGGCCTGATTACTACTCGTCAACAGCCTGCACCGTAGCAGTTGAGTTTCCAGGTATCATGACCTGTGCCTGTATTTTCCCTGTTCTGATATCAAACTGATATGACAAGTGGGTTATTAGCATGGAAAATGCACACAAAGACAAAACAGCACTTTTCTTAAATAACAGAAGCCCAAGGGAGAGAGAATGGCAGGAACCCACCACAATCCTACAATCTGACACTAAAGCTTTTAGGAAGTTCGGCGGGAGGAGTTTGGGTTATTTTTTACCGTTTCTTTTTGCGCATCGCCATAGGGCTGAAAATTAAATGCGCCAATGGTGGCTGCTTTTACATGTCCCCTCTAATTAGTACCGCCCCTACCTGTTCAGATTTTGATTTAGACAAACTCAATTCCAGTCCGGCCACTGCTACCTTTATCTGCAGGCATGGATTTGTATATTTCTTGTAGGCGTTCCAAAGAATTTACAACCCATTTGAACTGATGTAAATAAACGAAATGCCTTGCAATAATATGGACAACTTTTAGCGCCTCTGATAATCTCAAGAGACCACTGTGCGCATTCATCCATGAGAACTACCCTCATAAAGGCGACGATGAAGCCTGAGGGAGCTCATTGGTGTTTTTACGGTAATAGCGTCAGGAGATGTCCCGTTATATGTAGTCATTGGGCGCCTCATTCAGTTGACACATATATTTGGTTTGCCCACTTGCATACATTCTAGCACTGTTCTATTGCCTCGCATTTCAACAGGGGAGGATCCCTTACATCAGCGGCCAATGCGGTTCTTGCTCCTTAGATAACGAGGACTCGGGGTCTAGAACTGTTCGTGTTGCTTTTTTCGCTAGTCAGTTCTCCAAAAGAATAACGTTTCGAGGCGAGCATGAGTGGACGATTCTTATTTTCCCCTTCTTTCGGTCCACTGCATTCATCGTTTCTACGATCTTTTTCGCCTTCAGGGCAAGGAGTCCCGTGATTTGAACACAATGAGGCACATTGCTGTTGCTGGTCTAGGGCTGAAGGGCCATTTTGTTCCCTTTCAA